AAGACCAAGACTCGTCTCTGTCTCGCATTTGGGCAACACTAATTCGAACCAGTACCGCTAGACTCGAGAATTTTAAAACGAGCAACGCTTCAACTCACTACAAAAAATATATTACCCAACGTTTCAGCCAAACATAAAACATCTTCCAGAATCAATGAGCAGCTCTAGTCCGGATGATTCTCTATGATTTTATGCCAAAACGTTCAAAACTATTGTTATCTATGTTTATAGTAAATTTATCATCTCTCTTCATAATATGGTGGTGGCAAACATCATTTCTTCATCTTCTTCTTTTATTCTTCTTCTTTTCGAAACCTTCTTTCTCTTTCTTTTCACAATTAAGATGATTAAGCAATCTTAAATTATTTTTTTTTGTTTATATTATGTTCCAGGAGAGCCCTTGGTGACTCTAATAGAGTATTAGTAATAAAGTACAATTGACGAAAGAATAAGGGGACATTACAATGCGGTAAGATTATTAAATAAAGCAAATGACCCAGCTTGCTTGGCTTAGCATTAGCATATTCAAGAAAAAAACTCAGCAATCTTTTCCAGCTTGCATACTAGCTTTGTGCTAATTAGCAAACATGGATATTTCTCGGAGTATGGCAAGCTTATAAGTTATTAATAAAGCACTTGAGATAATCACTAAGCAGCACAATTATTTATAATAATAAGAAACTGCTATATGATTTGGAGGAGGAACTTAGTCAAAACTAAATAAAACATATATTTTCAGATTTAGATCATGAGTGACACCAATATATTTACAGTTGATAATGGCTTCAGAGCCAATCAGGTTTGAGACTTTGTTTGAACTTTTATACAATTATGAAAAAGCATTTAGGGTAAGCGCAAGCCTTTTTTGGCTTATGTCGCCGTAATTATTATAGTTATAAACCTCTCTCTTGGACATTTAGAATCTCTAGGGTCTCCTTTTTCTATTTAACACTTTAAAATTGAAAAAATATTCAGTTATACAATTATAATCTCCATTAAAAAAAAAAAACACCTTTTTGCACTAGTCATAGACACCCTGAAATTCAATTGTTCTACTAATGGACAGAGGGTTGGTACCAGTAATGAAGATACCTCAGAAAAATTTTAAAATCTTTATTAAACTATAAAGATAAGATAACTTTCTCTTAGAAAATCTGTTAGGAGAAAAGTATGAAACACACTGATCTCAACATCTCTGATTTTTTTTTTCTTGTTTTTGGCTTATCCCGCCGTAATTATTATAGTTATAAACCTCTCCGTTGGACATTTAGAATCTCTAGGACCTCCTTTTTCTATTTAGCAATTTAAATTTGAAAAGATATTTATTTGTTCTAATAATAGGGGATCGGTACCAGTAATGGACAACTGATGGACACCCCGAAATTCAATTGTTCTAGTAATGGACGGGGAGTCGGTACCAGTAATGGACATAAGTAAAAAAAATTTATATTTAATGTTTTAAAATTGAAAAAAAAATCAAATATGCAGGTATAATATCCATTTAAATAAAACACCTTTTGCACTAGTTTTGGACACACAGAAATTTAATTGTTCTAGTAATTCACAGGGGATCGGTACCAGTAATAAACATACATAAAAAAAATTCTAAATTTTTATTGAACTATGATGATAACGATGAAGATAAGATAACATAAATGTTCAACTTTCTCTTAGCAAATCTGTAAGTGAGAAGGTATGAAACACAGAGTTATGAAATTTTTGTTTTGTTTTTTGGCTTATGCCGCCGTAATTATTATAGTTATAAACCTCTCCGTTGGACATTTAGAATCTCTAGGACCTCCTTTTTCTATTTAGCAATTTAAAATTGAAAATATATTTAGTTGTTCTAATAATGGGACAGGGGGTCGGTACCAGTAATGGACATAAGTAAAAAAATTCTAAATTTTTTTAAAAATTTATATTTAATGCTTTAAAATTGAAAAAAGAAATCAGTTATGCAGACATAATCTCTATTTAAATAAAACACCTTTTTGCACTAGTGACGGACACATCGAACTTCAATTGTTCTAGTAATGGATACGGGATCGGTACCAGTAATATACATACCTCAGAAAAAAATCTAGAATCTTCATTTAACTATAAACATAACAATAAATGTTCAACTTACTCTTAGACTGTTAGTAGGAAGGAATGAAACACACTGATCTCAAGAGCGCTATAGAAACAACAATGATAGGCATTTTAAAATATTATTTTGAGAACTTTGTTCATGCAGTTGTCATTAGAAGGCATTGTTCTTCGATCTAGAAAAACTGGAACCTTTAAATAAACAAGGAAGCTTATTACTTACATTTAAAGTCCAACCTGTCCATTAATGGGCCTTCTGTCCATAACTGGAGCGTTCACACTATTGTTTTTTGATTTTTTATCAAATTTGTTAGAATTCTGGATAAAAAGTTTTCGTAACTACATACCACAGGATTTAAAACAATGAAATAAAATCACATTAGATAAATGAATCTTTTAATTTTCTAGTCATATCATTCAGGTTCGGTGCCATTTTTTCATAAGTTTTTTTTTTAAATTACGCCAAAGGTCACCTGTACACAGTTTTTACATCCTGTATTATTTATTCGACGTTTCGGCTTCAGGAGCCATTTTCAAGATCTTGCAAACTAATTTTAATTCAGTTTTTCTAGTTTAAAATACATTCTTATTAGACACATATTAGTTTAACAACTATCAGTTATATAAATAATCCAAAATTCTACTTTATATATTTTTTTTTATTAAATCTTTATCATCTACATACCATGCACCGCTTCATAAAATTTCTAAAATCTATCATTAGAATATAATTCCTCTTTTAGTCATTCTTTTATTTTATAGAATGTCGATTTTTCAATTCTAAAAATTTTAACATTCTATTTTAATTAATTATTTATTGCAACTTTTTAGAATTGAAAAAACGACAATCTATGAATGATTTCAGAAATATTATGAAGCGGTGCATGGTAGGTAGATGATAAAACATGTAAAAATTTTGTTTATAAAATAGAATTTGGACTATTTATATTATTCATAGTTGTTAAACTAATATGTGTCTAATAAGAATGTATTTTAAACTAGAAAAACTGAATTAAAATTAGTTTGCAAGATCTTGAAAATGGCTCCTGAAGCCGAAACGTCGAATAAATAATACAGGATGTAAAAACTGTAGATTTGGTGACCCTTGGCGTAATGTTTTAAAAAACGTATGAGAAAATGGCACCGAACCTGAATGATATGACTAGAAAATTAAAAGATGCATTTATTTAATGTGATTTTATTTCATTTTTTAGAATACTGTGGCATGTAGTTACGAAAACTTACTATCCAGAATTTTAACAAATTTGCTAAAAAATTAAAAAAAAAACAACAATAGTGTGAACGCACCAGTTATAGACAGAAGGCCCATTAATGGACAGGCTGGACTTTAAATGTATGTAATAAGCTTCCTTGTTTATTTAAAGGTTCCAGTTTTTCTAGATCGAAGAACAATGCCTTCTATTGACAACTGCATGAACAAAGTTCTCAAAATAATATTTTAAAATGCCTATCATTGTTGTTTCTATAGTGCTCTTGTGATCAGTGTGTTTCATACCTTCCTCCTAAAATTAGTTTGCAGGATCTTGAAAATGACTCCTGAAGACGTCGAATAAATAATACAGGATGTAAAAACTGTGTACATTTGGTGACCTTTGGAGTATTTTTTTAAAAAACTTATGAATCTTTTATTTATTTTGGTTGAAATATTCCCATCAAATAGATTTGACAACAGACCTACACGAAATCATATTTGTTGTTCCTTGATGTTAAAAATATAGAACATGAATGGAAAATTTCAATTTTAGAACAAAAATATTCTTCACTTTCTCCGTGAAGACGAAGCAAAATGAATTGACGTTAATACAGCACATAGGATAATTGAATGTTAATAAAACAATCATTTGAGAAAAAATCTTTTGCAATATTGTAGATTATAACCATTTCATAGTCTGTTAAAACAGTTTAAAACATACGAAATATAGGAAGGCGTCACTTAATAATTTTCCATTGGAAAGTCAACTATTTTAAGATGTCAAGATCAGTGCCAAATGGCAAACGACCTCAAAGGTTCAATGGTCACGTGCTCTTTGTAAAACGTAACACTTTTTAACCCGTTTTAGATTTTCTAAAGCGTATAAATAAATATATGTTGCTTGAAATATAATAATAAATTCAAATTGAATTGCTTTTTCAAACCGTATATATTATAAGATACATAAAAATATATATATAAGTAAGTACTAGCCAGTGATAAAGATCCCTTTTTATCAAATTATTAACATCCGGCTGAAAATTTGTAAATAGCTTCATCTCATCATAACCTACAAATATTTTATTTACGAATACTCCCGGAATTTATCTTGCAATCTAGAGATCGTCTAACTTTGTCTTTTTAATTACGTACTAAAAACTGGTAAATATCTATATGCTTTACACTTGCATCGTAAGATAATTTGATCAAGAATTCGAGAAAAAATAATGAGCTGTTTGACATATATAAGTTATTTTGACATTTTGGAGTTTTAGGCCACGCCAAACGACTCAATATTTTTCAAGGCCACCTTTTTTTTTTTATAGATTTTCTGATCATATTATGTTAAAATTAAAGTGAAAAGCAAACGAGTATCCATGAGTTTTTAGTACCTAAGTAAATAAACAAATTTTGCCGATCTCCAGATTGAAAACTAGCCTCAATTCCGAGAATTTTCGTAAATATAATAATTGTAGGTTACAATTAGATGAAGCTATTTACGAAGATTCAAGCGGATGTTAATAATTTTATATAAAGTAGTCTGTACCACGGACTATATATATACGCACTTATTTCTGGCAACTGTGTATGTGCATGGCTTGTGAAAATCGATCAAGGTTGACGGTATATAAATCGAATTAAAATCCAGCGAGGTTAGAAAGTATGCAATTTATATGACAATAGATAATTTTAAAAAATGTATCTTTAATGATTATTTATATTTTTAGTGTGAGCCTGGAAGCAGATCTGAGCAGCGACGAGACCATTTGCACGGAAGATAAACCCACAGTGAAATGTGTTCGCATCTCAATCAGGTAAGCAGTGAATTTCTGAATAAATAAAAATACATAAAATAAAAGTAGGTTCAAATGCGTGTTATATGAACATTTCAGTTGACAGAATGACTTAACTCCAATTTAAAATTTTTTGAAGAGAAAACTACTTAAGACTAGAACTACTTTTTTTGGAGAATGAATTAGATTGAGCCGTCAGATTTCCGATGCGTAACGCTCGAAGATAATAGTCGACTAATTAAAGTGTTTTTACATTTAAATTAAAATATCTCAAAAACTAAAAACCGGAACTGCATATCATTGGAGAGGGAAATGTTATCTCAGACTCATGTATTTAGTCGAATGAAAACTCGGATTCAATATTTCTTGTGTGGGTAAATGTATATAAAACACTAATAATAGTAAATCAGTATTTGTATGAAAACATATAATAGCATAATACATTAACTTCAATTAAATAAACCAAATTTTAATGTAAAAAAAACTGAAGTTAAGGGGTTTAGTTTTGCCGATAGATTTACAGCAGTGGCTGTTAGGTCATAGTTGAGAAACAAGCTCTCGCAATGCGGCTGGGCCATTCATTCCATTCGTCACGCATCTGGAATCCGGCTAAGAACCCTATCTAGAGAGGGCATCAATATTTTTTTTATTTTTTTTTAAATGTTACAATTATGAATATTAATTATTACATTAAATATAACGGTGATATAGTCATGATAGAATAATTGTATTATTATGTCTGCACAATAAATAGTATTCTGTAAGCAAATAAATACTGATGAAATAAAATACGTCTCTCTCTATTATATAAAAACTTGGTACATGTTTAATAGCGGGTAGCGTCCGACTTCTCTCTGCCAATGTTTATAACCTTAACACTGATAACTCTAATAAGCCAGTGATAATATCTTCGTATTCATATTTATTGTATTACATTCATATTATTATATCTCCGTATTCATATTTATTCTATTGTATTGATATTATTGAAATTGTGGACAAAAACAAATACAAATGTAATAATAAAAAAATTCTTTTCTTTTACAAGATGTATATTAAATAGACCAAAACATTATACATATAATTAAAAAACATTACGAAAACATTGCAACATATATATAAAAATAAATGAAATAATAAAAATAGGCAATTTGCAACTTTGCCAGGCCCTCTAATTTTTTTACTTGACCTGCATAACATATGGGCACAAATCTCTCTTATAAATTTGTTCCAAGTTACGATTGTTTCCTGGTATAGTTTGAGCTGCTCTTTCCCCCACTTTATTGTAGTTAAATTATGGGACCACCCATAAATGAATTTTAAAGCCGTTAAAAAAGATATCCTCGACCCCTCTAACCACGTTCCTTTCCTTATAGAAACGTTTTTTGTTACAACTACGAAAGCATCTCCATTTAACCTTACAGTCGAACTTCATTTGATGAACGTCATCACAATATTTCATTTTTGCAAATATCCCGGCTTCTTAAAAATATTTGATAGCCTCTTCCTCTGAAGACGTCAATTTCCACAATGTGGCAACTTTCATAATTAAAGAAGACTAATTCACCGCTTACACAAGGAAGAAAAAATAAACAAGGGAATAACTTAGGTTAGAGGAGATTATGTGAAATAAGATTAGATAACAAGGGAGGTTTTGACGCTACCCGCTATTAAACAAGTACCAAAAACGTTTAGTATTAGGAGAGTAGGAGATTACAGGAGCTCTCATATAAGCTCTATAATTAGTACTAATTACACATCTGTTGATTTAATTACATATGTATTGAGCTCATGTAACCTCCTACGTTCCTAATGAAAAATATAGATTTTAGACTAAAAACGTTTATGAGAATGTTATTTATTCAACTGGAGGTGGTAGTTTGATTTTACCTAAGTGACAACAGTTATTTTTCGATATATACATTTCATCATGAATACAATATAATAATTATTATATTATAAATAATATTATTTATATCACATTGCGAAATAATTATAATTAGTATGTATTCGAACAGCAAGTACAATAAAACGAACAAATAAAATGGTGAAATTATTGTTGGACTTATTTGAAGGAAGAAAAGTTGAATATATATTATCGTTGCAATAAGTCAATAAAAAATCACGGGTGGATCTACAGGGGCGGGGAGGGGGCTTTGGGGCTGAAGCTCTCTCCCCCAAAATGGTAAAGTATAACCATGTTTTATGGAAAAAAAATATTAAAACATTACCTCTTAAAGTATTATTGTTCGTGTAATTACATTTAAAAGTACTTTAGGAATCACTTAAACACCATTTCATATAGGTAGTTAGATTCTTTCTTTTTTTCCAAAATAATTATCGTTATTTTTATGAAAAATGTAGCTTTCGGACTGAGGCCATCTCCTCCCCCCCCCCAAATTAAATCATGGATCCGCTAGTGTTAAAAATAATTATAATTATATAATAAAATAAATTGGCAATAAAGCTCGATGTACAATATAGATTTTCAAAGGAATTAAAAATATGTCCAAACTGTGTTTCGATCAGTTTATTTTATGTTGAAAAATATTTTACTTACCAATAACATTTAATTTTCAACAAAATATATAGTTACTGCAACTCTGTAGGTAATAGGTGATTAAACAGCAAAAAAAAAGGTAAAAAAAATACATTTTTCTCCATATTTTACTGCCAATTTCGGGCTAAATTGAATGAGCCGTTTAAAAAATACATGTTAAAGGAGGAAAATATCTTTGCACACCTGTAAATTCAATTAAAATATGGGAAAGAATTTGATAAAGTTGATTTCATTATTTCATTACTCCCTATCTTTCTTCCAAAAATTCAGCCTAATCTAACGAGCCATTTGTGATATATTGGCGAGTATATTTGTGATATTTTTGATATATTTGTGATATTTACATATTCCGAAAAAAGCAAAAAATGTATACGTAATAAAATTGGTACTATTATTTAGGCACTAACCCTGCTACAATCCCTAAAAAATTAACATCAAAATCTGATTAACAGTAGTTGATGCTTTGTCAAACACATTTTACTATTGACACGGAACCAAATTTTTAATTGATGTTCAAACGTAAAACCGAATATTTTCGATTCGGAGCACTATTTTTAATAACTTCCTATATGAATACAAAGCTTCCCTACCTTTGATAGTGAAGAAGCAAAATAATAATAAGGATGACGTGAATCGTTAAATAATTTCAGAGGTAGAACAAAAAATTAAGAATTTCTGATACATAGAAGAACTTTCATAGCTGAGTAGAAGACAATCTTGGTTCCTAGCCAAGATATTAATAAAAAAAGGAAAAACCCAAGTCCATTCACTTTTTTTGTGTTTAAGTCATGTCATAACATATTTTATTTTAATTTGTTTCTCAGGGCCAGCTTATAATTTAAGGCATGAGGGGACGAAAGAGTTGTGGTAACAATTTAAATTCATGAGAACATTTTTATTTTATTTTATTTACTTATTTAGAAACATAACAATCTGTCACGTGGACAATAATTATAGTGATATATGATATAACACATTCATACCATATATACAGAAAATATAAAATTAACAAAAGTAAAATAATAATCAAAAACTATGTACAATAAAAAAATAAAATAACCTAAAGATAAGTAAATTAAAAATATAAAAACAGTCATACCTATATACAAGCAGGAATTTTATATAAAGGCAGGGAACCCTAAGCCAGGCTTCTCCCTCCAACTACAAAAGGAAAAACAGGAGTTCAAGAGGTCCCTGCGCTACTCTGTTAACCGCGTCACTGCTGCTAAAGCCAGTGGACTTTGAGTGAGAGCGCTTTAGCCACATACACTCATGTCTTGAGTGGAGAATCTGGCCATAATCTATATAAAGCTATAATCTATGTAATCATAGGCACACACTGTCCAATCTGGTTGGGGGGGAGGAAAGAATAGACCACCCAAATTAAATCCTTCAAAGGTTTATATTATGATAAAACTTATGAGTGACAATGAAAATAATTATTGTAAACCACATAATGTAATAGTATATATAAAAATAAACTTATATAAACTTTATATAAATAATATACAGGGATGTCCCGTAAGTAGAGGGAAATATTTAAAAGGTTAATATTAGACAAGATCTACAAAAAAGTTCATATAAACAACTACCCAATTTCTCGCAGAAAAGCAGGAAATTTAAAATTTCTGCCTCAGTTTAATGGAGAAACTCTAGAAGGTGATTCTTGATAAAATTTCCAAGAAAAAAAAAAGTTTAATTGATGCATAGACCGATTTCGAACGGAAAACGAGCTAGGACCAATTTTGTGTTTTTCTTAAAGTACTCATTTTTTTTTTTTTTTTTTTTTTGTTGAATAAGAAGGAATTTCTCAAAAGCTGTCCAAGTTAATTAAATTCGAAGTACTCCATCGAAAAATAGACACAATTTTTGTTTTGACGTACGAATATATTTGAAAAGAAATTTAAAAATCAACTGATTTTTTGTTTGTTTTTATTTAGTGATTTTAGGCAGTAAAATGAACTCTAAATTAAGTTTCAAATTTGCCGCAGAAAATGTGATAAGATCTTCACGTAAAAACAGAAAAGTGCACATGAATGAATCATAAACTTTTAGGATATGTTGCTACATATAATAATCTTGGAATATAAATTACAATTTCAATAAATGAAATATAGTGCGTGGTAAAATACTAGCATACCTACTACATTGATTTTAGTTAACATATTTTACTTATTCATGTAGATTTGTTGTTATTGATTATGATTTTTTTCTCTTCGAAATATTGGAGGAGCGAAAAGATATTTTAGCCTCCTCTCTTTTTTTATTTGGGGTAATTGCCTCCCTCCCTTGAAGTCTGGACCTGTAATCAACGAAAAATCATGGGCCGTAAATATTACAAAGACAAGATAAGTTCGTATCTTCAATCCACTGTCTCTAAAAAGATATGGAGTCAAGTATGGTGTCATTCTTTGGGTAAAAATTAGACACAAAAAAGTACGTTATCTACAATAATCACTAA